TCCTTGCTGCCATGCATGCATTGAAAATTTGTGGTGAGGGTGACTGTTACCTGTGTATGCCGCCCGCCCCGGGTATAGAGGCTGTTGCTCTAGGTGTTAGTGAGTCTGCTCTCCCTGGTACTGTGCGTGCTGAGGCCTTGCACACCTTCAAGCTTGACTTAGGTTCTTCCCGCTGTTTCTTTCGCGACAGTACCACAGTCACACCACTCCCTGCACCTGTTGCTATCAGACTAGCTGACCCCTCAGGGGGCCCAGTTCTTGAACGTTCCTCCACGGTTCTCCCGTGTCCGGCGGTTCCGTCCCGCTCACTCTCAGGTCTTCACCTCCCCTCGTTCTCTGCGAACTTGGTGAGTACAGCTGCCCTTCAGAATGCGATGGTCACTACCACCACTCCTGGGGGTCAGCGTGTGTCGATCTGCACGTGTACACGGACGGGCCGTCACCTGGCCACGTTCACCCGACGGCCTGGGTCGAGTCTGTACACACTGACTACTGAGCCTTCTCAGGTAGCTGCGTCTGCGTCCGCGTCAGGTCAGCTTTCAGCCCCCTGCTCGTGTCGCCACCTGTCGCACCAGACTCTCCTTTGACACCACCGTCTTGGTCACCCCTCCATGTCACGTCTCCATGGCATGCACTCTCGTCTCCTTCTCTCTGGTCTTCCCAGGTCTCTCCCTGCCCTCCCACGCTTGCCTGCTCCGCTCTTCCTTCCTTGCGTCCAGGGGCGGCAGCGCGCTGATCCTCACTCCTCCTCGATTCCCCCGACAGAGGCTCCCTAGCAGAATATTCACATGGACGTGTGGGGCCCAGCCCTCGTCCGTGGACAGGGCCGCGAGCGGTACTTTCTGCTGGTTGTTGACGACTACTCGCGTTACGCCACGGTCTTCCCCTTGCGCAGCAAAGGGGAGGTCCCTGATGTTTCGATCCCTTGGATCTGCGCTCTCTGTCTCCAGCTCCGCGAGCTGTTCGAGACGGACCTTCCTGTCCTGCGTCTGCACTCTGACAGAGGTGGTGAGTTTGCCTCCGACCTCTTGCGGGACTTTTGTCGTGGGGAGGGCATTCGCCAGACGTTCACGCTTCCGGCCTCTCCGCAGCAGAATGGGGTTGCTGAGCACCACATTGGCTTAGTCATGGAGGTCACTTGTACCTCAATGATCCATGCGGCTGCCCCCCATTTTCTGTGGCCGTTTGCAGTCCGGTACGCTGCGCATCAGCTCAACCTCTGGCCCCATGTCTCCTTGCCGGAGACCTCGCCGACACTGCGTTGGACGGATGCGTCGGTGTTCCGGTTCTGGGGATCTCGTACCTTTGTCCGTGATACTTCCGTGGACAAGCTCTCCTCCCGCGCCATTCCCTGTGTCTTCCTTGGCTTTCCCCTGACGCGCTTGGCTGGCAGTTTTACCACCCCACCTCGCGCTGTGTCCTGCCCTCTCAGGACGTCACGTTTGACGAGTCGGTTCCCTTTTACTGTCTCTTCCCCTACCGCACTGCCCCTCTCCCCTCCCCGCCGCTCTTCCTCGCACCAGGTCCTCCTCCGGTAGACCCCCTCCCCCCTCAGGGTCCTGCTCCCTCAGGTGTGTCTCAGGTAGACCCTGCTGAGCCTGAGCGTGCTGAGCCTGGAGGTACTTTGTCTGCTGGTAGTCCCCTGGGTGTTTCGTCACGGTGGGAGCCTCTCTCTCTACCGCAGCTGCGCGGGTGGTTTGCTTAGCGCTGGACCCTTCGGAATGGCGCTGCTGGAGCTGGGAGGCCTGCCACTGGAGACCCTGGAGTTGGAGGCGCTGGAGCTGCAGGTACTGGAGGTGCTGGAGCTGCTTGTCCCGGAGGTGCTCGTACTGGAGGTACTGGAGCTGCTGGAGCTAGTGGCACTCCAGACGTTGGAGCTGGGGACCCTGGAGCTGGAGGTGCTGGAGCCGCGGGTCCCGGAGGTGCTGGCGCTACTGGAGCTTATGGAGCTGCGGGAGTTGGAGCTGGAGACCCCAGAGCTGGAGGCGCTAGCCCTTGGGCTGCTGGTGCTGTTGGTCCTGGTTCTGTAGGCACTGTGCAGCCATGATCGTACTATGTTCCACTGCTTCAGCAGGTTCTTGGTCTCCCGTCCTCTACTGGCCTTACTCCTCCCTTACTGTGTCCACCGCCTGACCGGTCGCAGCCGCAGTTACAGCCAGCCTCCCCACTGCCTGCTCCTTCTCCTTACACTGAGCAGAACGGAGGTCTTACAGAGCGTCGTGAGCCTGCGTCTCGCCCTGCCTTGCCTGTTCGCGCTGGTTGAGCTGGTCGTCGTGTTCCGCATCCGCGTCCTCCTCCTGTCCCTAGCACGCACTATATGGCACTTCGTCCTTCCTCTGTTCCACTGCGAGATCCCCCTGCCGTCTCCTCCTGCGTCCTCTCGTGCTGACGGACCGGACCCTCAGTCTGACTTACTTCGTGCTGCTAGTCCTACTGTCACACGTTTTCTGGTCACTGTTGTTACTGACCCTTCCTTTGAGTCCACTTCTGCGTCTGGCTTAGTTGCTGAGCTTGCTGACTTTGCTACCGCCTGTCGTCTCGACTACGCCGCTAGTCTTGTTGCTGAGGCTGAGTCTGTCTGTCCTCTGTCCGTCGGGGGTGAGTGTGCTCTTGGCACGGACGTCCCTGAGGACAGGCACGAGGTCTTTGAGTGTTTTGCAGCTGCTGTACATCATCTTGTGTCCATGCTAATTGCACCTGAGGGAGACTCGGATGCACCAGACATCCCGACCCCGCGCACTTACGAAGAGGCGATTTCGGGTCCCAACTCCTATCAGTGGCAGACAGCCATGGACGCACGCACTTACGTCGATGCAGTTCCCCCTCCTGGGGCGAACATAGTCGATGGCATGTGGATTTTCAGGGTGAAGCGGCCGCCGGGTTCTCCGCCTGTCTTCAAGGCTCGTTACGTTGTAAGAGGCTTTAGTTAGCGACAGAGAGTTGACTTCTTCCATACCTTCTCCCCTACCCCGAAGATGACCACTCTTCGGGTGCTGCTGCACGTTGCCGCTCAGCGTGACTACGAGCTTCACTCTCTTGACTTCATCACAGCTTTCTTACAGGGCACCCTGCACGAGGAGATTTGGCTGCGCCGCCCATCTGGCTTCACTAGGTCGTTTCCTATAGGTACCGAGTGGAGCCTCCGTCGGCCAGTCTACGGTCTCCGCCAGGCGCCTCGTGAGTGGCACAACACACTGAGGACGACACTTGCGGCTCTTGGGTTCGCTCCTTCGACTGCTGACCCGTCGCTGTTTCTACGTACCGATACTTCGTTGCCGCCGTTCTACATCCTCGTGTACGTCGACGACTTGGTCTTTGCTACTGCTGACACTGAGAGACTGGCCCTAGTGAAGTCGGAGCTGCAGAAGAGACACACGTGCACAGACTTGGGTGAGCTGCGGAGCTATCTTGGCTTGCAGATCACCCGGGACATAGCACGGCGCACCACTACCTTGACTCAGTCACACATGGTGCACCAGGTCCTTCAGCGCTTCGACTTCGAGTACTCCTCGCCACAATCCACTCCTCTGCCTACTGGTCATTTGCTCTCAGCTCCACCTTTGGACGAGTTCGTAGAGCCGAGTGGCCGATCCAGAGCTTGTGGGCTGCCTCATGTACCTGATGACCTGCACTCAACCTGACATAGCCTACCCTCTTGGCATCGTGGCAGGCTACGTTGCGCTCAGGAGACACCCACCAGAGCACTGGAAGGCCGCTAAGAGAGTGATGCGCTACTTGTGCAGTACGTTGGGCATGGGGCTCGTGCTTGGAGGACAGAGTTGAGTTGTCCTCACTGGACACGCAGACGCTTCTTGGGTTGACGACTTTGCTACGCAGCGGTTGTCACAGGGTTACACTTTCAGCCTTGGCTCCGGCTCTGTTTCTTGGCGGTCTACCCACTCGTCTTCTGTTCTCAGATCCACTTGTGAGGCTGAGATCTACGCAGGGGCCATGGCTGCACAGGTTTTACGCTAGCTCACCTACCTGCTGACCGACTTGGGAGAGCCACCTTGTTCTCCTCCAGTTCTGTACGTAGTAAACAAGGCCATGATTGCCTTGTGTCAGGATCACAGACTGGAGCACAGAACGAAGCACATCGCTCTGCGTTACTTCCTTGCTCGAGAGTTGCAGCAGCATGGTCAGCTTCGTCTTGCTTACGTGGCCTCTTGGGCCAACAGTGCTGATATCTTCACCAAGGAACTTCAGCCTTGTGACCATCAGCGTTTTTGTACTGTTTTAGGCCCGCTCACTTCTTGACTTTGTTTGTACTGTAATTTATATACATATACCTGCATGCTTGCACTTGCTAGGTTTTGATCACTGTACTGCTTGTTCTCTATTATATAACTCTGCATGTGAACTGGCCTTGTGCTTAGAGTGTGTGGTGACTTCGTGGTCCACCCTGAGCTTGCTTTGTTTTGTCGTTTCTCTTGACTGGTCTTGTGACCATTTCTTTCTCTGGCTATCCCCCATTTCGCCTATGGGGTTGTGTCAAAACATATATGCCTATGTTCTTTAGGCTATATGGGTGTTAGCACTAGGGGGTACAAAATTTCTCTCGATGTTGTTCTTGTACCCCTCCTCCTTGACCTAATCACCAACTATTCTCCTAAGATTCTAACAGAGGAATATGGGCGAAGTAGTCAGCTGCTAAGCCATTGGTGGGAGAAACATGAGGAGGAGGAATAGGGATGAAGTAGTCTGCTGCTGCGCCGCCGAGGGGAGAAAGAAGAGGAGGAGGGATAACGGCAGAGAAGTATTCTGCTGCGCTGCCGAGGGGAGAAACAACAGGAGGAGGGATAATAGCAGAGTAGTCTGCTGCTGCGCCGCTGAGGGGAGAAACAAGAGGAGGGATAATAGTGGAGTAGTCTACTGCTGCGCTTCTAAAGGGAGAAACAAGAGGAGGAGGAAGAATTGCGAAGGAGTCTGCAGTTGAGCACCTGAGGGGAGGATATTGAGGAGGAGGAAAGGTGTGGAAGAGCAACAGCCACAAGACACAATCAGCTGCCAGCTGCAGCAGATGAGGAGAGGAAAGAGGTGGAGGAAGGGGTGAGATAGTGGAGGGGAAACTGGAGGGAGAGAGGAGAGGCGGAGGATGGTGAAGGGGAGGATTGTGAGAAGGGCGGGGACTTGACGGAAGGGCAGGGCGGGCCACAATTAGCTACTAGCCGTAGCATATGAGGAGAGAAAGGAGGAGGAGGAAGAGGTGAGATAGTGCTGGGAAACAGAGAGAGAGGAGAGGAGGAGGGAGGTGAAGGGGTGGATTGCGGGGACAACGGATGAGCATGGGTACGAGGTGGCAGCCAGCTGAAGCAGATGCAGAGGGGAAGCAGGAGGTGAGGAGGAGATGTAAGAAGGAGCAGGAGGAGAGAAGAGAGGTGGAGGAGAGTGGAGAGGCAAATGCTGTGGGCGGATAGGGTTAGTGTGGGGCGCGAGAGTCTGGGAAGGCGCACCACAAAGAAGTGCGTGGGCGCCCGGGAGGAGAAGAGGCTGGGCACCCGCGAGAAAGAAACGGAGGGCACTCACGAGGGGATAGGGAAGGTCGGCCACGTGGGGCGGGACGTCCGCGACCAGAGGGCAAGGGGGGGGGGGGGGCTCGACGATGGGGGAAGGCACGCGCAGAGACAGGGTAGAGTGCGCACGGGCATGGGGCAGGTGGCACGACGGCGAAAGCAGGACGCGCGCAACGACGAGTCAGGGCGCACGCGTCGATGGGGCAAGGCGCGCGCAGCGATAGCGCAGGGCGCGTGACGTTCATGAAAGGCGGCTAGGGGGGGTCCGCGACCGCTTTAAAGGGCTGCGCGGCTGCCTAAGGGGAAATCCGCGACTTCAAAAAAAAGAGAGAAAAAAAAAGTCGAGATGATAGAAAGCCGGAATTTCACGAGTGCCTACGGGTGCTTAAGAGTCTAAGCATCATAAAGAGATGTGAATAATGAAGAATTGCCTAGGATCAGGCTCTGATACCATGTTAAGATAGGACTTAGGGCCATAGCTAGAGATAATAGTCGAAGAGATTAACTAGGAAGAATGTCGAGATACAAATGTAGGAAAACCTAAGTGAACTTAGGGTGTGTTCAAATTGTGCTAGAAACTAAGAAATGAACCTAAAGTGAACTGGAAATGTAACTCGCTCTAAACATGGCGAAATAACAAAATAGCACCATGATAAATGCCAGAGCGAGCTCTAGCCTACTCTAAAACCAGCAGCTCCAGCACCTCCGGTACCTCCAGCTCCAGCACCTCCACCGGCAGGGCCTCCAGCTCCAACAACGCCACTCCGAAGGTGGGTGCGCCAGCAAACCACTCTCGCAGCTGCCATGGTGAGAGAGGCTCCCGTCGGCGAGACCGTTGTGGCGATGCACCCGTAGGACCTCCAGCATACGCAGTACCCCTAGGCTCAGTACCCCCAGACTCAGTACCCTCTGCCTTGGCACCCCTAGGCTCAGCACCCCCAGGCTCTGCACCCTCAAGCTCAGCACCCCGAGGCTCCGCACTCTCAGGCTTAGCACCCTCAGGCTCAGCACCCCCAGGCTCCGCGCTCTCAGGCTCAGCACCCCATAACGCAGCACCCCTAGCAGCACCACCCCCAGCAGCACCAGAGTCGACAGCAACCAGCTGCAGAGGCGGCGAAGACGGTCGAGGTGGAAAACCCGGAGGGGTCTCCAAGCGTGGTGAGCGGTGGGGGGCTGCCGCGTCGTCAGCATGAACGCCACCCCCCTCAGCTGGGCCAGCGGTGTCAGACGTGACCTCGAAAGGCTCAGCAAATGGGAGTGGGTCTACCTGAGACACACCTGAAGGAGCAGGACCCTGAAGGGGGAGGGCGTCTACCGGAGGGGGACATGGAGCGAGGAAGAGCGGGGGGGGGGGAGAGGGGGGGGGGGGGGGGGGGAAGAGACAGTAAAAGGGAACCGACTCGTGAAATGTGACGTCCTGAGATGGCACGACACGACGCGAGGTGGGGTAGTAAAACTGCCAGCCAGGCGCATCAGAGGGAAAGGCAAGGAAGACACAGAGAATGGCGCAGGAGGAGAGCTTGTCCGCGGAGGTATCGCGGACAAAGGAACGAGAGCCCCAGACCCGGAACACCGACGCATCGCCAACCTCTCCCGTCCAACGAAGTGTAGGCAAGGTCTCCGGCAAGGAGACACAGGGCCAGAGGTTGAGCAGATGTGCAGCGTACTAGACCGCAAACGGCCACAGAAAATGGATCATGGAGGTACGAGCCACCTCCATGACTAAGCCAATGCAGCGCTCAGCAATCCCATTCTGCTACGGGGAGGCCGGAAGCGTGAACAACTGGAGGATGCCCTTCCCATGACAAAAGTCCCGCAGGAGGTAGGAGGAGAACTCACCACCTCTGTCAGAGTGCAGACGCAGGACAGGAAGGTCCTGGCGGAACCGCCCGCGGAGCTGGAGACGGACAGCACGGATCCAAGGGATCAAGACATCAGGGACCTCCCCCTTGCTGCGCAAGGGGTAGACCATGGTGTAACGTGAGTAGTCGTCAACAACCAGTAGAAAGTAATGCTCGCGGTCCTGTCCACGGCCCCACACGTCCATGTGGAGAGTCTGCAGGGGAGCACTCATCGGGGGAAACGAGGAGTGTGGAGCGGCGCGCTGTTGCCCCTCGACGCAAGGAAGGCAGGGCGGGGCAGGCGAGGGCGGGAGGGGAGGCAGAGACCTGGGAAGACCAGAGACAAGGAGGCGGGAGTGCATGCCACGGAGGCATGGCAGGGAGGGGTGACCAAGGCGGTGGTGCCAAAGGAGAGTCTGGTGTGAGAGGAGGCGACATGAGCAGGGATCTGCTACCGGACCTGACGCGGACACCTGACCAGACGCAGCTACCTGAGTAGGCTGAGTAGTCAGTGAGTACAAGCTCGGCCCCGGCCGATGGGTGAACGTGGCCAGGTGACGCCCCGTCCGTGCACACGTGCAGATCAACACACGCAGGAGTGGTGGTTTTGACCATGGCATCCTGGAGGGCAGCGGTACTCACCAAGTTCGTAGAGAACGAGGGGAGGTGAAGACCTGAGAGTGAGCAAGACGGAACCGCTGGACACGGGAGAACAGTGGAGGAACGTGCAAGAACCGGCCCCCTTGAGGGGTCAGCCAGAGAGACTGCAACCGGTGCAGGGAGCGGTGTGACTGTGGTACTATCGCGAAAGAAACAGTGGGAAGCACGTGAGTCAAGCGTGAAGGTGTGTAAGGCCTCAGCATGCGCAGTACCAGAGAGAGCAGACTCACAAGCACCTAGAGCTGCAGCCTCTATACCTGGGTCGGGCAACACATACAGTCAAAGCATACATGCCAGCAAGGATAGCGTTATAGTCAAGAGCAAATATATCCACATTGTTCCTAAGCAGCTCTAGCTAGCGGGGGAGCTCAGCCTCGTCGCCAAACTCTGCGCGCAAGGCGTCGTCAAGACGGGAGAAGCAGTGATACTGTGTGTGACCAACCTTCCCGCATGTCTGACCAGCGCGATCACTTGAGCGAATGACGTACGGGCAGCGAACACTACCCCCAGACGCCCCACGCTGAGCGAACCACTCATGAATTCGCTGGGGTGTAAGGGTCTCGCGCGGACGCTGCTGCTGCTGCTGCCTCTGGCCACCGCCAGAACCTCCCTTCTAAACGGCCCCACCCCGACCGCCACCACTGCCGCCGCCACCACTCCCACTGCCGCCACCACTGCCACCACCGCCACCACCACTCCCACCGCTTCCACCACCGCTGCCACCGAGGCCTACACTCCCACCACCACTCCCACTGCCACCTCCACCGCCTCCACCTCCTCCACCACCACCTCCACCGATGCCACCCCCACCACTCTTGCCTCCCTTGCCCTTGCCGCTGCGACGCCTCCTACTAGGAGTACACGCAACCCCGACCTCCTCAGCACGAAGGAAGTTATCAGCAGCAGAAGAGGCAAAAGAAGGGGGCAAGGGGGGAGGGGGAACACCCCTCAAAGAAGGGAGTGCGAGGAGTGCCACGAGCAGAACCTACAAGTCTAAGCTGCAAGGAGGTGCTTCTCGAGCAGGTCGACAGTGAGGTCCATGGGGTCAAGGGCGAGAAAGAGGTCCCTGACTGCGCATCATCACCATCCACGGCATCCCCGCTACACTCATCTCAGACAGAGACCCCAAGTTTACTAGTAAGTTCTGGAAGGAGCTCATGGGGTTGTTGGGGACTAAGCTTGCGATGTCTTCAGCATACCACCCCCAGACTGACGGACAGACAGAGCGACTCAATCAAGTGGTTGAAGAGTTACTGCGCACAGCTTGCAAAGACGACGCCAGCCACCGGGACATACAGTTACCAACCCTAGAGTTCGCTTACAACAACGCGTCACATGCGGCCACAGGGAAATCTCCTTTCTTCCTGTGTTACGGATGGGAACCACTCACACCACAGCAGCCAACCACACCGGCACACGTCCAAGCCGCACATGACTTCGTCACCACCATGCAGAAGCTATGGGAGAAGAATCAGCGACGTCTCACCACGATGCAGAACTCCCAGAAGCAGTATGCCGATCGCCAGCGACGTGATCACTCAGTAGCAGTCGGAGATCAGGTGCTTCTCGACACGCGCAACTTGAACCTGTCTCACCTACCATCCAAGCTCCAGCCTCGCGTATGTGGTCCTTTTCTTGATGAGGCACAGGTGACACCGGTAACATTCCGCTTGCGCTTACCTACTACGTGGAAGCTTCACAACGCTTTCCATGTTCAGCTACTGAAACCCCGCAAGGACCCCAACCAACAGTTCCAGGGACGGCAGCTACCGCCAACACCACCTGTTCTCATACAGGATGAACCCGAGTATGAAGTGGAGCACGTTCTTACTCATCGGTGCCGCGGCGGTAAGACCCTCGAGTTCCTGATACGCTGGAAGGGATATGACCCCACTGAGGATAGTTGGGTTGCAGAAGCTGATATGGGCAACGCACGCCGTGCTCTCAAGGACTATCTTGTCAAGAAGGGTGTTTCTCACGCCACCCAGCTTTGAGGGGGGGACGTGTGAGAGTACGACGACTTATGCTGGCTTTGCTAGCATGCGTGGACTTTATTATGCTATATCTAGCTTGGGTTGATTTTATCATGCATAGTTATGCTTGATTTCCTAGGTTAGGTGCATTCCTATATTTTGTTATAGTTATAGCACCGAACCCGGTTACGTGTACCGAACTCAAGCACATTCGGTTTCCACCGAATTGCTCTCTATTGGGTTCGAGAAGGTTCTGTTCGGGGCGCTTCGCGACCCTCAGAACATTTGCATAACACCTGGGTAACTGGCGTTGTGTCGAGACTATATATAGCCTCGTTTTGTACCTAGGTGAAGCATTCAATTACAACTCTCTTTTCTGAGCTCGATCCTAGATCCTCACTGTTGCCGCCTTGGGACCACCAACGTTTCTACACCCAGCTTGGCCTTGTGCCAGCCCGTCCTCACTTGCTTACGTAGAGATGCTTTGTCCTTCTTGTTTTGTACTCTTGCATCTCATTATATTTGCTATATACCTGCATGTGAACTGGCGTTGTGGCCCTTTTTGCTTGCTCTTGGAGTGTGTGGTGACTTTGAGCTCCACCATGAGATTTGTCTTGTTCTTGTGGACTGGTCTTGTGACCCTTGCTTGTCCTTGCTAACTGGTCATGTGACCCTTGCTTGCTCTCAGACTGTGTGTGTCCTTGAGACCCACCCTGAGATATGTGCTGTTTTTCCCTAGGATTATCGACACCTAGACTATGGGGGTGTGTC